TCATGTCTTACACTGTCCGATGTCTCCCTTCACCTACTTTTCTGTTGTCCGTCCCCCAGGTAGGAGGTTATATGTACATCCTTATGATCGGTTCCCCCTTTTCACCCCACCCTCCCTTTACCATTAAATTTTTTTAGAACACTTTTTTGTAGGGATTACATCTCAGATAATCATTTCTGTATTCCATAACTTAAACTGCTTATCAAACCTCCTGGTAGCTTGCCCTGTGCTGCTGCTTCTCCTTTCTTCCTTCTTTCTCTTCACCCTCATAAAAGGTCTCTCCTCCCCTTCACCTAAGTTAACACTCCCGTCTCCCCTCCAGCCTATTCATTCCCTTATCCTGCCACCCCTGGTCACCATCCGTCTGCTGCTTTTGTTAGAAACCTTTTTTTGTCTTCTTTTATAACAGTGGTCTCATAGACACTCTAGCCTTCTGATTAACTTCACTCAGCATAATGTCCAAATCCATCCATACCATGAGGTGTTTCACAGTTTTGTTGTTTTTTAGCGATATGTAATATTCCACTGTACGTATGTGCCAAAATGTATTTGTCCATTCTTTTTAAAATTATTTTATTGGGGGCTCGTACAACTGTTATCACAATCCATGCATCCATCCATTGTGTCAAGCATATTTGTACACAGGTTGCCATCATCGTTTTCAAAACATTTTCTTTCTACTTGAGCCCTTGATATCAGCTCATATTTTCCCCTCCCTCCTTCCCTTCCTCCCTCCCTCCATTTGTCCATTCTTCCACTGATGGGCCTTTAAGTTGCTTCCATCTGCTTGCTCTTCTGACTAGTGCTGCCATGAGCATACCATTCATTGAAGAGACTGCCTCTTCCCCATTTAGTGTATTTTGGGCCTTTGTCAAAAATCAGTAGTCTGGAGGTAGATGAATTCATGTCTCCATTCTGTTCCATTGCTCCGCCTCTCTGTCACTGTACTGCTTTGACTCCCAGGACTGTGGAGTAAGTAGGCTTTGAGGTTGGGAGCTGAAGGCCCTCCTACAGTCTTCTTACACAGTGCTTTGCTTATCCTGGGCTTCCTTGCTCTCTGCATAAAGTTGGTGATTAGTTTTTACATCTCTTTAAAGAATGATACTGGGATCTTACATTATATTTAAAATAACTAGGTAGGAATTGCATTATATTTAAGGATAACTCTGGGTAGTCTTTGGAGCCCTAACAGCCTTGTGGTTATGCATTGGGCTACTATCCCCAAGGTCAGCAGTTCGAAACCCTGCGGCTGCTCTGTGGGAGAAAGATGAGGCTTTGTACTCTCAAAGAGTCGCAGTCTTGGAAACCACAGGGAAAGTTCCACTTTGTCCCATACATAGGGTTGCTAAGAGTCAGAATTGACTCTGTGATGGTGAGTTTTTTTGAGAGTGGGTCTTTTTCACAATGCTAAGTATTTGGACATGGAGCCTTCTTCCAATTATGTAAGTCACTTGACAAGGTCTTCCATGGTAATTTAGAAAAGTTGCCCAGATAACTCTGGACAGTCCCATCATGCTTAGTATTGGAGAGTCTGACATGAAGAGTTCTCAGACAGTAGTCATGGAGATTGAGAAACTGATAAGGGAGAAGAACATAAGACTACAACAAATACAGTTCTGAAATGCCCACATGGAGTAGATGCTGAAGGTGATGAGAGAAAGGAGATAGAAGAGAGGGCATCTGGGAAAGCTTCAGAAGGAAGGACACCTTGAACTAGTTCTAGAAGGATGACCAAGGATTCTTGCTATAGAACTGAGGAAAGAAAGTACTTTATAGTCAGCATGGAATATGTATGCTATGATAGGAAGTTGGGCTTTGAACTGGTGCAGACATGACTGACTAACTGAAATCAGAACAGACCCAAATTTTAAAAATCTGGGTGAAGCAGAACTGCAGGGAAAAGTGAGCTGCTGTTCTGGAATGGGAGACTTGGAAGAGGCATAGTGAGGCACTTTCAGGAGACTGGTTGCAGGAACTGGATTGTTGCCAGGGCTCTGGTGGATTGACACACGTTCCCCGCAGTGCGGTCACATGTCGTCTCTGAGCGGGTCACCGATGATCCAACTAAGCCAACTAGTAGATTCCATTGCTGTACAGCACGTTGTTTTCTAAGGTGGAGATTATGTTTGAACAGGGTGGTCACCTGTACCTTTCCTGTGAGGGTTATCATCTCGGCTCACCCACGCTTTCCAGATTCTGGTCCATTCCCGTTGTGCTGCATTGGCTCTTCCTGACCTGGGAAGAACTGGCTTGACGTTCTGGTTGAAAGGCAAAGAGATACAGAAGGAGATAAGGGTTGGCTGGAGGGATGGCAGAGGGTCCACCTGGTCGAAGCATAGTCAGGTATGGTGAGTGGCAAGAGGCCAAATGTAAGAGAAAGATGACTCAGTGGTCCTGGGAGGGAAAGAAGACCAGAGCTGGCCGACAACCTGGAACTGCATCGTCCAGAGTAATTATGATGTACATTATAAATCAGTATAACATTTTTAGTGCCCATAAATTTTTAGAAGAAGCAGGTAACATTCTTAGTAAGTTGTAACTATTTATTAAATACTTGTGGAGGACCTACTTTGTGCCTGCTCTATACTAGGCAATGGAGAATCGACAGTAAAGCAAATTGATTCTATTCCCCTGCTGTTGCAGCTGACACAGCTCTGCTTTGAATGTCTTATTCACTCTTCACTGTATACTTCCTGAGCTGTGTAGTATTAAATTAAAATGACGCGGAGGTGGGGAGGGGTGCCAGCCCCCACCGCTAATACCACTACTACCCACGGGTTCAGTAATACTACTTCTGGGTTCAGTAATGCACAATTGTACGGTTGAGATATATAAGCATTATATTAAAGTCATCAAGAGCATAAGAGATAATACAGTAATACAGTCAGACATATTACATGGTAGTATTGCTCACCTCAGCCCAGCTTGGTGGTCCACGTGGAGAGAGGGGGAAGGGAAGGAGGGCAAGGGAACAAGGGAGAGGGAGAAGAGAGGGGAGTCACCAGGGAGTGAGCAGCAAGGAGGTCGGAGAGTCCGAGAGGTCAGAGAGCTCTATATTGCTGACTCACGCCTATATACCTTTTGGGGCCATGCCAGCCCACATTTACAGGTAGAGACATACGTCACAGGGAGGAGCTGCACTATAGGTTACACAGCAATGAGAGGGTGGTCTAGGGGGTGGTCTCTGGGTCTCCATAGGAACATTATCAGTAGGGTGAAAACTCCTCCTACAGGAGCCTGTCCATTGTCCCCAGAGGCAGGGAGCAGGCCCACCCCTGTGGAGGGATAAGACAGCAGTCTGGCAACTGATTGCCTTCAGGGGGGGAATGCCTGTGCATCTGACCTCCCCCCACAGAGCTGGAAGACTCACCAGAACCAAAGCAGATATTGCAGGAAGGGCATGGTCCAAATGTCATGGCTTAACAGGGCCCAAGAAGGCCAGGCAGAAAGCAGCCTGCAACCATCGGAACAGCTGGGAGGCATTGGGAACTTGACTGGCTTGGTTTTAGTGGTGTCGTAGAGAAGCCTGGTTGGAGTAGGGTAAAAGTATGAAAAGACCTTTGACCTAGCAATTTCCATTCTAGTTATCCTAGAGAATTTCTAGCGTGTCTTGATGAAAAATAGCTGTTGTGATTATGTTCACAGTTGTACAACACTGGATCCCTTTCTAATGTCACTTAACAAAGAACTGTTCCATTTATTATTTATTCGCCAGGTGTGTTTTGAGCATCTGTTCTGTGCTGGGGGTTGTTCTAGGCCCTGGGCACACAGCTGATCAAGACGAGCAATCTCTGCTCTCAAGGAGTGTACAGTAGGAGGAGAACCCAGCTAGCCAGCTGATCATTTTCAGTAGTGCAAATGCTCTTTTCTATTTGAACTTGATTGGTAGCAAGAATAGGGACACTGAAAGAGGCTGTATTATGGGGAAAAATTAAAGATGGTCATATGATGGAGAGTGTATTAGAAGAGGTGGTAAGACAGCCTCTGAAGAAGAAGCACTAGAAATGTTAGGTGAGAAGTTGTCAGCCATGTGGTGGTCTGAGAATAGCAAATGTAAAAGCCTGGATGGGGACAAGCTTGAGTTGTTCAAGCAGCAGCAAGGGCAGCAGGGTGGCTAGAAAGGGAGTGATGGGGAAGTTTGAGCGTTACTCTGAGTGCTATGGCCTGTTGGTTTGCGGCTGTGAGTATATGATGAAGTACGAAGAAGCACCAGGTGAAAGTATAAAGATCTCCAAGATATCATTAAATGTAAAAAGCAAGGGGTGGAACGAGGGGCATTTGAAAAATTTGGGGGGAAATTGCAGTATCTTTTCACTGGTTTTCCCCCACAAACTTTTTGAAGCCCCCTTCTATGTATGATATTTTACAAATTGAGGGTGAGGGTGGGTGTGTGTTAAACAGGAGAAAGGGACTCCTAAGCTATAGACCAAATTATTAACAGTGATTGGGTTTTTTTCCCCCCCACCATCTCCCTTTTCTCATTGATTGGTTTTTGGAGAGTAAAATAGGATTGGCGATGAGAATCACAGTGGTTATCACTTTTACTCCCATTGAATGTGGGTATTGTAAACCCTCCCTACCCAACCACCCCGCTGGGCAACAAATTGACGTTGAGGCTTGTCTCTGAAGGAGAGAAAGAAAGAAAGAAGAATTAGCTAAATGGGATACAGGTTTGGAGACCAAATCACCCCTCTTGACTTTCTTGCCTGTTACACTTGACTTTATGCAAAGTTATATAGTTAAACACCTCTCAGAAAACCAAATGTGTGTGAGCATTGCTTTTGATAAAACCTGTGGTGTGTTCCAGAGATTTGGCATGAGAATATTTTGTCAACTCGATCCCTAATGAAGCAGGAATGTGATCTTACAGGAATCGGTAACATTCAAAGATGTGGCTGTGGATTTCACCCAGGAAGAATGGTACCACGTGGCCCCTGCTCAGAGGATCTTGTACAGGGATGTCATGCTGGAGAACTATAGCCACCTGGTTTCTCTTGGTAAGAACCGTCTGGCCTCCGGGTGGGACTTTTTCTTTCTCGCTCAGTAAGTGGTGCTCATAGCTTAGGTAGCTGTAAGCAGGATGTCCAGGGAGCCGAGCTTGTTCATCGCTTTGGGACCCAACATTATGGGGTTTTGATTCTGCTTTCGAGAGAAAAGGTCTTTCTTTTGGAGAATTAGAAATAGGTCATGTAATTGCATGGCTTCCTAGATAGCACCTCTTTTATGTTCCAGAGTCCCTGCTGGGTAAGGATGGACAGTTCTTTGTCCAGTTGCACAAACAACCTAAGCTTGTGTGTTTACCTGTGAGCAGGGTACCAAGCTTCCAAGCCCGAGGTGATCTTCAAACTGGAGCAAGGAGAAGAGCCATGGATCTCGGAGAGAGAAATCCAAAGACCTTTCTGCTCAGGTAACTGAGTGTGGAGCTCATGCAGATGACAGCTCGGCTCAGGGAGGCTGGGTGGAGGGTACACCTTTGAGCTGGGTCAGGAGCCCCAGGACCTGTAGAGGAAGCTGACGCCATTTGGTTTTGGGTTTCCTGGTGACACCTTTGTAGGTCTGCCACCACAGGGTGTTGATGATATCACTGAGGGTTAGAGGACAATTTCTAAAAGTAACCTCCCTCTTATCCTCTTATCCTATACCGTGAATACCATTTCTGCCTAACCCAGAGGGTCTCAACCTGTGGGTCACGACCCCTTTGGGGGTCGAATGACCCTTTCACAGGGGTCACCCAATTCATAACAGTAGTAAAATGACAGTGATGAGGTAGCAATGAAAATGATTTTATGGTTGGAGGGTCACCACAACATGAGGAACTGCATTTTTTTTTGAGGAACTGTATTAGAGGGTCGAGGCATTAGGAAGGTTGAGAACCACTGCCCTAACCTGTAACGCTACTTAACTGGATTATTTTCTCCTCTAACCTTCCTCAGTCTCCATTATTCAGAGATTCCTTTTCTGACTCATTCAGACATTCCTCAACTTCCACATCTCCTCTCATTTTGAGCGGAGGTGGGGGGGTCACTGTCATTGTAAGATGGCTCCGACTTGCAGGGAACATTCTCAGCCTTGACTGTCCCTTTCTTTAGTAACCTGTCTGCAGATTTCTTTCCCGTAAATGTTAAAACCTCTTCCAGGAACCAGCCCCATCCTCCTTCCAGCCCACCTTTATGGGATTGCATTCATTGCCTCCCTCCCACGGTGGCTCCGGTGATCTCTCTGCTGGCCTCCTTGCTTACCCAGTGCCTCTGGGCTTTCAGGCTTATTTTGCCTCTTCCCCTAAGTGAGTTTGCTTTAATGGATCTGCCCTCCAGCCTTCCCCGCTATACTGTTTCCCTGTAAGGGCACCTTCATTCTGTTGGTCGCAGCCCTTCAGTCTGTGCTGGAGACTCAGCATTGTCCCTCACTGGCTCTCTTGTCTCACCTCTTTGTGCTTACAGGACCTCTCCTTGTAGAAGCCCCATTCAGTCCATGTTGACTGTGTAAAAAAATAACGAATCATCTTTTTACCCCCCAGCCACCATATTTAGCTACTTTGCCCATTACTCTCGTCAGCCTCGTCTACCTTTGACCATTGGCGACCACTGAGTTTCTAATCGCTTAGCCAGACTCCCTAATCAAGTTAGTTTTCTTTCTCTCTTAACCCCATGACTTGACCTCTCCATCTTGTTTCTCCTTGGTGAAAAATATATATCTTTTTTTTTTAAACTTTTGATTTGTGTCGGTAACATCGTGAACCAAGCTTGTGCAGTGTTCTCATACCGACCCTATGTCCAGTAGAGTTGTTCTAACTAAATACCACCTGGTCTTGCACCATCCTCACAGTGTTTTTATGTTTGAGCCCTTCGCTGCAGCCACTACGTCGGTCCATCTCATCAAGATCTTATTCATTTGCATTGACCCTCTCCTGTACCAAGCATCATGTGCTTTTCCATGGATCCTTGATGGCATAGTGGCTACAGGTTGAGTAGTTAACTGCAAAGTCAGCAGTTCAAACCACCAGCCACTCCAAGGGAGAAAGACCAGGGTTTCTATTCCAGAAAAGAGTTCCAGTCTCAGAAACCCCCGAGGCCAATCTGCTCTGTTCTACAGGGTTGTTATGAGTTGGAATCAATGTGACAGCAGTAAAATTGGATTGGGGTTTTGATTAAGATATTCTTCATCACACCAAAAAGAAACCCCAAACCCAGGTAGCAGCCCCTCATCTTTCCTTGTTCTCCCTAGCCCCTGACAACCATTAACCTACTTTTGTCTCTATGCATTTGCCTATTCTGGACATTTGGTGTACCTGGACTCATTTTATATGTGGCCTTTGGTATCTTTCTTGTTTCACTTAATGTTTTCAAATTGCATCCCTGTTATTGAATGTATTATTACTTCATTCTTTTTTCTTTCTTTTTTCTCAAATCATCATCAATGATCTCATCATCATTCTCAAAACATTTGCTTTCTACTTGACCCCTTGGTATCAGCTCCTCATTTTTCCCCCTCCCTCCCTACTCCCTACTCCCTCCCGAACCCTTGATAATTTATAAATTATTATTTTGTCATGTCTTACACTGTCCGACGTCTCCCTTCACCCACTTCATTCTTTTTTCAAATGGCTGAATAATTTTCCACCATATGGATATACCACATCTTATTTATTCTTTAATCATTAGACCATGTTGAATTATAAAGCTTTATCTTCATAAACCACATACCTTTGAAAAAATCTGAGTCTCTGTGCCTCATTACAGTCCTCTATCATACCTTCCAGTTTTGTTTTGTTATTCCCACTGCTTAGGGTATACTTCTTTTAGTATTCTCTATTAACTAGCATATACTTTTTTTTTAGCATATGCTTTTACTTTATTAGGTAATACTTTCACTCTTAGCCAAAAGGGCAAGAAGTGATACAATACTCTGTTTCTTCAAATTGTTTGAGTTCAAGGTTTATATACATAAATATCACCTTCTTCCTTGATCACAGATAACCATTTGTATCATCTCTATTACACATACTCAAATTTGATATACTATCCAATATGTTTCATTTTTTTTTAATTGTCAAAATATTGAGTGTTGTTTCTGTTCTAAGATTTCAAGCTCCTAGAGCAAGAGTCTGTCTTTTGCAGATTATCTCAAAGGCAGTAAGATAATACTTTACTAGTAGCTCTGCAGTCTAGCTGAGAAGAGAACTTCTCATTTGTTCATTTCATTAAGCATTTCTGGAATGTCTTATTGAGAAGGATTCCAAAAGACATCATGCAAAGTGTCTGATCCTATGAGATTAGAATTGAGTCTAGTTCTAAGATAAAGAATTTTAGAGAATGGGAGCCTTCGGTTTTGTTTTTCTTCCCAACATTTTATTATTGACATTTTCAAAGTTAAAATAATTAGACAGAAGCACCAAAGGTGGGGGTGGGGGGGAATCATATCATCGTGAATGAGGGTAGCGCATGATGGGGACCCAATGCCCATCTCTAGACAACTGGACATACCTTGCAGAGGGGTAGTGGGGAGGAGGTGAGTCACTCAGGGTTCAGTGTAGCAATAATGAAACTCACAACCTTCCTCTAGTTCTTAAACGCTTCCTCCCCCCAACTATCATGATCCCAATTCTACCTAGCAAACCTGGTTAGACCAGAGGATGCACAGCGGTACAGATGGGAACTGGAAACACAGGGAATCTAGGACAGATGAACCCCTCAGGACCAGCGGTGAGAGTAGCGATACCGGGAGGGAAGGGGGGATAGAAAGTGGGAATCGATCACAAGGATCTACATATAACCTCCTCTCTGGGGGATGGGCAACAGAAGGGTGGGTGAAGGGAGACGCTGGGCAGTGTAAGATAAGATAAAATAATAATTTATAAATTATTAAGGGTTCATGAGGGAGGGTGAGGGGAAAAAGGAAAATGAGGAGCTAATTCCAGGAACCCAAGCGGAAAGCGAATTTTGAGAATGATGAGGGCAACAAATGTATAAGTGTGCTTTACACAATTGATGTATGTGTGGATTGTGATGAGTTGTATGAGCCCCAATAAAATGATTTAAAATAATAATAATAATAGACAGTAAACACCTACATACTTAACATGTAGATTCTGCAATTAACATTTTGTCATACTTGCTTGATCATGATCTCTTTGTCATTCCATCATATTTTGAAATATATTTCCAAGTAAGTTGTAATTATGAATATATTTTTATTCCTAAATATTTTAGCAGACCTATTTCTATCTAAAGTTCAAATGGTTCTAGAATTTTTCTCTTTTAAGGAGCCCATGTGGTGTAATGGTTAAAGAAATCAACTACTAACCAAAAGGCTGGTGGTTCAAACCCATGAGCTACTCCACAGGAAAAAAATGTAGCAGTCTGTGTCTATAAGATTTACAGCCTTAGAAATCCAATGGGGCAGTTCTACCCTGTCCTTCCAGGTCATTTTGAGCTAGAATTGACTTGCTAGCAGAACGTTTTGTTTTTTCACTTTTAAAGAAGTTGCATACAATGATATATTCAACTCTTCTGTGTACCTTCCAGCTGTTTAGATAGATGCATTTATTCATTTAACCCAAACGCTGCCAACATGGACTATTTCCATCACTCCAGAGGGTTATCTACCCTTAGTTTTCAAAAATTGCCATTCTTAGAACCTAGAAATTCATTCTCTGCTGTTGGTATTCTAAGGTAAACTCTTTTTAAGTCGAAGTGAGTGTAGAACCAGAACTCAAATAAACTTACACCACCCCTTTTCTTCCCTAGTGAAGTAGATCCTTCCGTGTCCAGGTGTATAAAATAATCCTTTCAGTTAGATTACTGGTTGCAGATTTACTTGGCAGGCTTGGAGACCTGGAACCTCATAAAAACAAAAATATCCCTCATTGCTATCTAGTGATTCCAACTGATGCAACCCTCTAAGGAGTCTCGTGGTGTGATAGTTATGCATTGGGCTGCTAAACACGAGGTCAGCAGTTTGAAGCCACCTGTCATTCCACAGGAGCAATGAGACTTTCTACTCCTGTAAAGATTTACAGTCTTGGAAACCCACAGGGGCAGTTATACTCTGGCCTATAGGATCACTATGGAGTCTGATAGGTGACTTTAAAGAAGGTAGGACATGGGTGTATTAGGAAGATAGATTTTTGTGGTGGTTTGTAAAATGGATAGGAAAGTTGGAGGATAGGATCCTGTAAGTCAGACTCTGTTCCTATTCCCTTAGTACCTGTGCCTATCAGCCTCATACTCATTTTTCACTTGTTGTCTAACCATCTTCTTAGATAGGCTTACCTCATTCTCTAGGCTTTAACACACTGGGGCTGTAATTCTACTGTCACCTCTCTCCATATTCCCTCTTCTCCATTTTGGGTGTTCTCCCCAGCCTAAGGACTGATTTCAGAACATTTCCTCATTCTTACTGCAGCACTTTGTTTTAACAGGAGAGAATAGGGATTTTTGCACTTTGAATTTCTTTCAGATTGGAAGACCAGGCCAGATGCCAAATCATCAAAGCCAGGCATATTTGAAGCCTCCCGGCGCACAGATGATCTCTCATGTGCCATTCAAGAAGACAGCTGGGATAGTGGTAGAAAGTTACAGAGACACCAGCAAGCCTGGAAGAGACATCTGGGGCCAGATGCCTTTGTCCAGAAGAAAATAATCACACCAGAGGGAGATCTTGAGAAGAATAAATTTGGTGAAAACTCTAGATCAGGCACGGACCTGGTTACACAATTAAACATTTCCTCAGGAACAGGATCTAATGAATGTAATACTCTTGGAAGCAACTTAGAACATAATTCAGACTCACTTAATCAGAATAGTATTCTTATAAAAAAGAAGCCCTATAAATGTAATAAATGCAGAAAAGCCTTTATTCATAGATCATCACTTACCAAACATGAGAAAACTCATAAAGGAGAGACGGCTTTCCCTAATGGTACAGATCAGGGAATTTATCCTGGAAAGAAGCACCATGAATGTACTGACTGTGGGAAAACTTTCCTCTGGAAGACACAGCTCACAGAACATCAGCGAATTCACACTGGGGAGAAACCCTTTGAATGTAACGTGTGTGGGAAAGCCTTCAGGCACAGCTCGTCCTTGGGTCAGCATGAGAACGCTCATACTGGAGAGAAACCCTACCAGTGTAGTCTCTGTGGGAAAGCCTTCCAGCGCAGCTCCTCCCTCGTCCAGCACCAGAGGATTCACACTGGGGAGAAACCCTATCGGTGTAATTTGTGTGGAAGATCTTTCCGGCATGGCACATCCCTCACCCAGCACGAGATTACACATAGTGGAGAAAAACCCTTCCAGTGTAAGGAATGTGGGAAAGCCTTCAGTCGGTGCTCGTCCCTTGTCCAGCACGAGAGGACTCATACTGGAGAGAAACCTTTTGAATGTAGCATATGTGGGCGAGCTTTTGGCCAGAGCCCATCTCTTTATAAACATATGAGGATCCATAAAAGAGGCAAACCTTACCAAAGCAGTAACTACAGCATAGATTTTAAGCACAGCTCACCTCTCACTCAGGATGAAAGCCCGCTCACTGAAGTGAAATCCTATCATTGTAACGATTGTGGGAAAGACTTCAGTGACAATGCAGAGTTCACTGACCATCAGAGGGTGCACACTGGGGAGAACTATGACTGTGAACAGGCCTTTGGCCAGCAACCACATCCTCATCCAGGAGAGAAACCCTATCAATGTAATGTTTGTGGGAAAGCTTTCAAAAGGAGTACAAGTTTCATAGAGCATCACAGAATTCATACTGGAGAAAAACCCTACGAATGTAACGAATGTGGAGAAGCCTTCAGTCGGCGCTCCTCACTTACACAGCACGAGAGAACCCACACTGGAGAGAAACCCTACGAATGTATTGATTGCGGGAAAGCTTTCAGTCAAAGTTCATCCCTGATTCAGCATGAGCGAACTCACACAGGAGAGAAGCCTTATGAATGTAACGAATGTGGGCGAGCATTCCGAAAGAAAACCAACCTGCATGATCATCAGAGAATTCATACAGGAGAAAAGCCGTATGTTTGTAAGGAATGTGGGAAAAACTTCAGTCGAAGCTCGGCTCTTACAAAACACCAGAGAATTCATGCCAGAAATAAATCCTAGAAACCCCAAAATCAAGGAGTGCAGAACCCTTTTACTAAAATATTTTTCTTACACAGTATGACAACATTCATACTGGAGAGAAAGTGTCAGAATGTAATTATGTGTTTCTATGTTGTGTGTGAAGAAAACTGTGCCAGTAGACTTTGTGTGATTTTTCATGAAAGCCACATTCTTATATTTAATTACAGATTTTGTAAAAACAACTGCCGATGTCTTATGTAAATGGTTGGAAATGATATGCCTGTATATTGGGCATTATAAAGTTTTTGAATATATGTATGCACAGATTCTCAACTCTTGATAGCTTGACTCGTAACCTTAATTGTTTACAGCCTTTTTAGAAATAAACACCTGCAGCAATGACCAAAATTCATTTTTCAAACTGTTTACAACTGTCCCAGCTGCAAATTGGACAAAATTTACTTTGGAAACCGATCCCTGTTTCGAGATTTCAATGTTTCAAGAATTAGATCAACTAGTCCAGCCACTTTGGACAGATGAAGAAACTGAAAACCAAAGATGTGAAGTGGTTTACAGATGCAGCTTTCTAATGGCTCTGCTGGGCAGAGATGCAGCTTACCTGGACCTTTGGCCCCATGGTCTTGGCTCTGGGAAAAAGTTTTCTCGTTTTGTTTTAATCCAGAGGGGTTTATAGTAAAATTTCAAATAAATTGGATGCAGAGACACAGCATTTAATGAGCCCCCATAGGTTGAACACTTTGGGAATTAATAAAGGTACGAGGCAGCAAAACTTACGCAGTTTTGTCACAGATTTGTTTAAAGAGATTTGTTGGAAACTTATAAACCAATATGTTAACAAAGATCTTAGATGGTTGAATTTCTGGTGACTCCTTTTCCCAACTCTCATAATTGTGTACACTTTAAGCAAACAGATTTGTTTCATACAATGAAGCCCTTTTGTGTGTGTATTCTTTTCATGACTCAATTCCATGAAATAGCAACTGCCCTGAGCTTTCTGTCGTAGATCCCTCTGGAAAAAAAAAAAAAGACAAGGATATAATTTATCCCAAATTTTATGGAAAAGCATAAGACCAATTACCTGCTGCTATAAATTCTGCGTTTGATTCCGTTTGGAAAAACAGGTTATTCGTTCACATTGTACCAGAAGGATATATTTCACCATAACTTTTTTTTTTTTTAACTTGGGCCATGATGCTTTTCCATCAAGGAAGCATGACTTAACTCCTAACATCTCCCATTGGTTGTCCTAAGTGAATTTCCAGACCTTGGCAATTTACTGGCACCGACAGTGTAGACACATTTGTAAGCAACTATGTACATTGATCCCTTCCCTTTCAGACAAGAATTGTTTCACCCTTAGATAAACACATTTCCCAGTGCTAATAAAGAGTGAGGAGGAAGGGTAACATGGGTAGTGAAAATAGCTTTTCATACTAGCTTCTTTGCATGCCAGGTCACAGAATCTCTGGCCCTTCTTGTACTCAGGACACCACCAGAAAGCTCCCAAGCATTCTTTGTCATTTTTGGCAGGGAAGGTGTTCATGGGAACAAACGTAAGAGGTCTATTACCGTGAGTCCACCACCTGTAAAACACAGATCTGCCTTCACTGTTCAGAAAAAAAATTGTTTCTGATGTTCTGTGCTTGGTACCAAGTCCTTGTTTGTATTGTCTGATACACAATTTCACTGTGGGTAATTCTGTTCAGATCTTTCCCTGGATGATTGACTGGGATATGTGTTGGGAAACTCATTTTGCTGCAGTTTGTTTGGAATGATGTGATTGTAACCAAATAAGTGCTCCGAAAACAAACTACTATTGAGTCCATTCCAACTCACGGTGACCCTGTAGAACTGCCCCTGTGAGTTTCTGAGACTAATGCTTTATGGGGTTAGAAAACCCCACCATTCTCCTGAAGAGTGGCTGGTGATTTTGAACTGCTGACCCTAAGGGTCACAGCCGAATGTGTAACCACTTTAGTTCCAGAAGACCCAAAGGAGACAATTGGTTTATATGTAGACCCTGACCTAGAGCCAACTAATCAACCTCAGCACACCTTCATTGGCAAGGAGGGAGCTCAGGATGTACATGCAGTCCTCAGGAGCAGAGGACTGCCTTAGTCCCAGCAACCATGAACTGCGCAGCTTCCTGGGGCCACATGAAATCTGTCCTTCTCCCGTTTTATGTATTCTCTCAATAAATAGCCTTCTTGGTTGAATGGCAGTCAGTTTGTCTTTTTCAATTTTCAGAACTTGGATAAGATTAAGAAAAGGCCCCTCAAGGAGGATGGATTAACTGCTAAACTTCACAGCCAGGTGAGTTACTAATAGCTGCCATTTATCATAACACTGAACAACATCGTGCTAAGTGCTTTATATAACATTTCATTTCCTACAACATTCCGTTTATAGGCATGGCTGTATTTCTTTTCTGTTTGCCTGAAGTTTTTCTCCCTTTTTCTCTTTGTTGTAACAACACCTGCTTTACTGATCTCAGGAAAACTAGGGACCATTATGTAAATCAGGATGGTCCCCTAGGCTTGGCGATAGTATGTCAGGCCAAACAGAGTTCTTTGCCAGAATTTTTTCACAATATACTTGGCAAGGAAACGCCTTTATTTTGGAATTGACAGGACAGATGAAGGCCTTGAGCTGCCTGGAGCCCAATTCCTTACCAGATAATGTAGTAAGAGAGAATAAGGTATTTGTATTGCTGATCTCTGAGGTCCATACCCTTGGTCAATTTCTGAGCTCTCGCTCGGGCTCAGTAAACCCAGTATCAAACGATTTCCTCGTTTTGCCCAAGTTTATATTTCTTGCAACAGAGAGACAATACATGTTTTATAACAGAAGTAGAGACTAGAAGTCAAGTAATGTACAAGCAGATTGTGGTTTCAAACCCAGGATTCTTAAGGGCAGCTCTTAACCTAACTCACATGTCTCCAGAGCTGCATATAACTTGTCATTTGAGGAGATCAGAGGTTGAAGGGCTACAGTGGTGGGTCAGGTTGGAGACCAAGCAGAGACTAAATCATGCATGGCTTCAGAGCGCGTTTTCCAAACTAGTTCAGTAAATTGCCACTGTTACTGTTTGTAGTTGAATCAGCTCCAACTCATAGTGAGCTTACATAGAACAATGACTTTCTGCTTGGTCTTCCGTTTTCATGATCATTAATACGTTGGCTCATCTCACAGCACTGTGATGAGCAATCTTGTGTTGTGGTTCTCAGAGTGTTTATTAGCTAGTTTCCATAAGTAGATTGCCAGGTTCTTTTTTCTACTATGCTTTAGTTCAAGGAAACCTGCCCACGGTGGGGCGGGGGGGGTGACCTACTGGTATTTGAAATATACATGCATGTTAATGGATCAGGAATTCTTGGGGTGTAATGGTTATACATTGGGCTACCAGCCGCAAGGTCAGCAATTCAAACCCACTAGCTGCTCTTTGGGAGAAAGGTGAAGTGCACTACGCTGTAAAAAGTTAGTCTCAGAAACCCACAGGGACTGTTCAGCTCTGCTCGATAGTCGCTATGAGTTGGAAATGACCTAATGACAATGAGATCAGTTTTGTTTGTTTAGTTTGGTGGTGGTTTTGGCTTATTATGGAGCATAGCTTCCAGCGTCCAGTCCCTTGATGTGGGGACACTCATTGACCTATTTTTAGTATTGGTTTTTATAAGTAATGGGATACTTTTATCCTTTTACACACACACACAAAGATGTTTTCTGAAAATAATGAGATAGAATATCCAAAATGAGATTGCTGGTTCATATGTAGGACAGTGTAAGCAGGTGATTTGGCACTCATAAAACAATATGCTTGATACAAAGGTCTAAGATTAAACAGTTTTAAAATTGCAAAAGGAGAAAGCCAGCCTCCCACTCCCCTCCTCGTGGTGCCAGTTGGATCAGGAGGAGAGCTGTAGGGCAGGTGTTCTATCCACTAGAGTATTCAGTACAGGTCTGCCAGCACTAAAGAGTAAAATAGATGGGTGGGTATTAAGCATAATGCTGATGGTGATGCCCACTTTTTTTTTTTTTAATTAAAAGATCATTCTATTGGGGGCTCTTAAACAGCTCCTATAACAATCCATATTGTATCAAGGCTATTTGTACATATGTAACAATCTACATTGTATCAAGGCTATTTGTACATATGTTGCCATTATTTTCTAAGTATTTACTTTCTATTTGAGCCCTTGGTATCAACTCTTTTCCCTCCCACCCTCTTGGCCCCTTGATAAATGATCAGTTGTTACTATTATCTTACACTGACTGCTGTCTTCCCCCATGGGTCTCAGTTGTTCTTCCCCCTTGGGGGGTGTGGGTATGGGTGTGGGGACTGTGGTTATGTGTCAACCATTGCAGTCAGTTCCCCCTTCCCTGCCCTCCCCACCTTCCTCCTCCCTACCCTCCTGGTGGCACTACTCCCATTCCTGTTCCTGGATTCCATGTATCACGAGCTCTTACCTCTTTCTGTGTACATGCACCTGTCTAGCCTGCAGTGAAAGGCAGGACTGGGGTCATGATAGTGGGGGGTGAGGAAGTCTCAAGGAACCAGAGGAGTATTGTTTCATCAGTGCTTCATTGTACCCTGGTTGACTCATCCCTTCCTTGTGACCCCTTCTGCGAGGGGATGTCCCTTTATC